AGTACTTTAAGGTACTTTAAAGTACTTCGAAGTACTTTACGGTACTTTAAAGTACTTTTGTACTTTGTTGTACTTTAGAGTACAAAAGTACGATGTTTCCCCCTTGGCTGGCCTTATATTAATTTCAATATGGATCTATTTATCGTAATGTAAAGCGATTTGAATCGAATTTTGATAGATATTTAAATATTAGACAGTTCGAAAAAAATGAACGACACTGTTTTATAGTTTAGATCAGAAGAAATAGAGCTTTTTTTTAAAATAAGCAAAGTGTGTTAAATTATAAGAATGGAAAAAATTTTACCATCCATGTTGTATGAATTTGAGTCATTGACATGAGAATTAGAAATTTCAAGAGTATTTGATAGTATACATGAGGGTGAGGTTGTATTGCTTTCACTTTCGATAAATGGTGCATAATCATGTCCAGCGTGAATATTTAATGCTACTTGCTTTTGATCATGAGGCATGACGAATGTTGATGATAAAATATTGGTAATTTGAGATTTTGAAAATTTTTCTTTAATATTAGGAATAGAATTATTTATTTGTTTTGTTGTCGTTAAGTTATTATCTGTCATCGTATTATCTATTAGAACAATTTGTAAGTTAAAAAACTGCTTTTATGATAAGAAATGTACCATTATTTATTAAAGATGTGTAATTTGAATCTATGTTGTTTTTGTCTGATTTTTCTGAAAAAAACAAACTTGTGCATATATGTTTAATTCTTTTAGTTAACATACCAAATATTTGTTCTGTGAAATTATTTTGTGTTAAAATCGATTGATGCTCATTGGTATAAGAAGATATATTATGATTTAATGCGGATACTGTAAGTTCCTTAACAGGTAAAGTTTGTTGATTATTTGTTATATTCATTGTATCAGAAATGCTTGAGAGTTGATGGTTGGTTGAATTATCTACACAAAATTTATTGTTTACTTTTTGAGCAATCTCACAAAATTCCAAAATACCAAAAAGAACGTGTGTAGGTGATATGTAAGTAATATTGTTTGCAGATGACATATTGTCTGATTGTTCAACTTGAGAATTTGTATGTAATTGTTGAAGTAATTGATTTAAAGGATTATAAGTCTGTTCATCGTTATGATGAGATAATGCTTCACCAGATATGACGGTTACTATTCGATAAATATTTTTGTTTAGAAAAATGAAATTAGTAAATGTCAATTTCTTTAGTTATAATTATCTATGTCTTGATTACTATTTGATTGGCTATTTGTTGATTGACTACTTGTTGTTTCACTATGCAATGACTGATTATTTGCTACTGAAATATTGTCAATATCATTCGATCCATGAATACCTATAATCAATAAAAGAACAATGCTAATTTAACATTGATTATCAACATTAATTAGGTTTATATCATATTAAAAATTTTATATGAAATGCATACTATCTAGGTTACGCTCTGGATATTTTTGTTTTAAATTTTCATATAGAAGTCGGTGTTCCGGCAACATCAAAATTTGCTTTCCAATCATTGTTAAAACGTGTTTTTCCTTTATAACAGAATTGCTCAATATTGTCATATAACTTTGTAAATCCATTTTAACATCAATGAAAATTCGATCAACAGCACTACGTTTTATTGGATCATTTAGAATATCATTGGATGGATACGATTTCATATGAACAATACCACGTGATGTTGTTGTTATGAATGCTTTGAAGTTACAAAAAAAAATCAAAATACGCTTTTTATATAAGATGGGTAGTATTAGAATTAAAGGAGAAATAGCAGAAACTTTGGTCATGAAGTTGGATGAAGTTTTCCGAAATCTTATCAAAGCGTGTAAACTCTTGAGACATGTCGTAAAATTCTTTGAAGTATATTGAAATCGCATGAAATTTGAAATGTGTTTCGTAGATATTTTTCACCGAAAATTTACCAAAAGAGTGATGATGCTATGTTTTTCTCAGTGGTCTTATTTTAGTGGAAATGTGAGGTTTCATTGTTTAGTGAATCTGTAGGCAAAAATTTCGAAATTGTTAGAGTGTAACAAGTCAACAGTTAACATTTGAATGATCTATTATAATGTTGTTTATTCCATAGTGAAACAGTGAAATGATTTATCAATTTAATATCACTGTTATGAAGAATTTATATTCTTGTTCTTTCGTATTATCCGTGACAGTTAAGTAGTTCATAAATGATTCGCTTCACAGGACAAACAGTTGACTTTAAAAATTTACGATTTCAAACGATTTTAAAGTTTTATCAAAGTCGATCGAGTACTATGATCGAAAGTTTTGTAGTTCCTTCTTCGATAATGCATTCAGTTTTTTTAATAGATTAAAAAAATTTCACTCAATTTTTAAGGAATCTTGACTGGTAGCAAAATTTTGAATCCTCTCGAAATCTTGTGAAATCTTTTGAATCTGATGAATTTTCTTGAAGTTTTATGGAATTTAACGAAGGTCTTTCAAGTTCAATGAAGTCCTTTGAAATGCTATCATATCTGCGAAATATCATGAAGCTTTCGCCAAACGTGACTCAGTAAGAATCTCAATTTTAAAATCTCATAAGGTCTAGATGCCTCGTGAATTTGTTTAAAATTGTAAAAACTGTTTTGGAATTTGATGAAGTGTTTAGAAGTCCTCTGGAATCTCGTGAAGATTAATGAGATTTTGTAAAATCTCATTAAGTCTTTGAAATGTCTTGTATTAGTAGAAATGCTCTGAAACTCAGTGAAGTCTGATAGAGTGTTCTAAATTTTCCTGAAGTCTTGGATTTATAATTTTTGGTATATATTGAAGTCTGACGAAGTGTTCTAAATTTTCGTAAAGTATCGAATATTCTTTAGAAGTGTTTTGATATGTGTTGAAAATTTGAAGTCTTTGCTAGTGAAGTTTTCTCAGGTCATGAAATTAGTCTTTTCCTTTTTTTTTCTTTTTGTTGTTAGAAGTCTCCTAAAATTACGCAAATTTTACTATAGTCGTTAAAAGTTTGCTAAAATTCCATGAAGTTATATAAAGTTTTTTTGATGTCTTATGAAATTTTAAAATTTGGGTTAGTGAAGTGTCTTAAAGTTTTTTTGAATTTTGTGAAAATTCTGAATGCTTGAAATGATCTGGTTCTTACTTGATTAATAAATGAATTACAAGATAGTTTTTAAAATAAGTGCATTATTACTCACGTCCCTGTCGTAGTAATTGATATTTTATAAGTTCATCAATAATAATATTGACCATATCTGTTGAGAAATGACGAAGTAAACCCATTGATCCTGTTAAGTCTCGTTTCAGAAAGAATAATTGGGGCATTTGGAAGATACGTTCACGAATTTTATTTGTTGTTGAATGAACTAGATTAATTATTTTTTCAAATTTATCTCAATACACTTACAGAAATTCTTACGAGAAATTGTTTCAATTGTGGGTTTTTTATCGTTAGGAACAACAGGTTCGACGTTGTAAAGTGCAAATAACATTTTAAGCAAATGATTGCAAAAAAGATAACCACTAAGACGACAACTCTATGATTGAATTTCCAAAACTATAGTTTGAGATGAATATTTATTTTCGATTATTTCCGTTGCATTACGAATAAAACTAAAGCTAGTATCATCATATTTAAGTTGGTTTTGATCTTGAAGAATTCTATAAAATAAAGCAATTGACCAATTGTATTATTTTTAGTTATACTATAACAAAATTAAAAGAAAGAATTTTACACTTACTTTAATATTTGCATTGTAATTTTAACAATTTCACAAATTGCAGCAAGTTTGCATAAAATTTCTGCTGATTTAGCCACACGTGAACTATAATTAACATCATCTGAGTTTTCAAGCTTCGATAATTCTTGGTATTGTCGTATTTTATTATAAAACTGTTTTGTGCCATTTCGACTTAACACAAATTCACGTTTGCCAATGAGACGAGCTACTATTAATATTTGTGTTAAATTTGGTAAATTATCTTCAATCCTGTTTAATCTTTCCGATTCATATTCTTCATCGCTTAAATCGTCTTCATTATCGTTGTTTTCAACATCAGCGTCATTGTAATCGAGTGATTGTGGAATATGAAGTGTTGAATCTTTTATCTTTGGCATTGCATAATGCAAAAATCTAAACGTTTTACCTATATATTATTGAGGTAAATTTATATTTCATTATTAAAGATTATAAAAAAATTATGTTGGCATAATTCTTGGGGACTTAAAATTGCGAAGTGTGATGTAATGATTAAAAGAAAACACATGTGGACACTTTAGTTGTATAGGTTATGGAACCGCTTGCCAATGCATTTCACGACACAAACATCTTGATGATGCTAGTAAACAGCGTGTTACGATTTGTATAGCCTTTTGTGTAGATGTAGGTCACCGTTGACGATATTTCGATATAATGTCAGTCGTACAGTATGATATGTCATTGCTAAACTGCCAAACACAGTCTATGATAGGTTTTTGTTAAGGTGTGGGTTATAGTGTGTGGTAGATTGTTGTTAAGATGTTAGTGATCATCTGTGGTACTTCATTGTTTTCACTTCATCCAGAGTAAGTGACAGGTTACTGAACATACTCTGTATAGAACAAAATCTTTCTTGAACCTTAAATGAGTGATGTTATGCGAAAAAAATATGCCTAGTCCATCGGATGTGGTCTATTTAGTAGAGAATTTAGTTCTCTATGGAATGGTATACACCAAATCCACAACATATACTCTATAAGCGAGAAGATTTCTTTTCAATATTATATCATCATCTACATGCGTGATAGAGCCAGAAAAGAAACTTTGTTTCTCGTTCGCAAAAAATAGGATCTATTGGTTGTAGTATATGTCGTACAGAATTTAATTCTCTATTGAAAGGTATACACCACGTCCACTGGATGTACGTCGGAAGGTGGAAGAAATCTCTTTATCGTTACGAAGGTTTACATGAGTGATGATACCCAGAAAAAAAAAAACATCCATTTTTTCCACCGCTCGAAGTTTGTTCGGTCCATCGGATGTGGTGTATTTAATCGACAATTTAATTTTCTGTCGAATGGTATATAGTATATGAACTAGACATACTTTGTAAGGGAAAATATTTCTCCTAAATGCTGTAATATTACCTACATGACTGATGGTATAGCAGAAAAAATATCAATTTTTTTCTACTGCTATTTTGAAATAATTAAAATTAAAATAGTACATCATTAAAAATCACAACTAACCGCTCCGATAAACCGTCACTTTGGTGTCCTTGACTATAATAATTGATTATTCGGTGCCATAAACGACCAGTAGTCGCACCAACAAATGATAAATGAGATGCAATTTCTAAATGATATGACATCGTATCTTTACTTGTTGGTATTGTGCCAAAAAATTTGCATCCTGATACTCTATCACTAGCACTTCCTTCCGATAATGGAGAATAAAATCCCAATGATAATAACGGCTTTTCTGCTTCATCTGTAATAATAAAAACATTTGATTTTGCCAGTTTAGCTGATAATGAAGCAGTTGTAAATTCATCAACGATTCCCGCTTCATCTTTGGAAATACCTAAAGATTTAATCATTTCAATAACTGCCTTTTTAATCGGTGCAATAATCTTCGATTTTCCACAACCTACAAATATCACATACAGAAGTTTCTTTTTTTTATTCTACCACTATACCTGATGGTCCAATCAATAAAAGAAACATATTTAAGTTGGTAATGTGATTTCTAATATTAACAGTAGATTCAGCACAAAAATGACCGATACACGTAAATAATGATAAAAGAAGTCCAACTGGATCTGTATCATTCACTAATTTATAATTATTTAAAAGATCAGCTAATAATTTAAATGAATCATCAAAAATATTTTCCAACTTGATGGTAATATCTCGAGCAGTAGATAAATTTCTTTGCCACATACAATTGGCTGAAAATTCTTGATTTTTTTTGAGTTTAGCCGGCATTATAAAATATTAATACTTGAATTAATGATTTAGATGGGAGATAATAATATTTATATCAATAGAATAAGTGATTAAATAGAAAAAGGAGCGAAAGTAAATAAATATTTGAAAAATCGGATAGTTGTAAGCATTTTATTAATTTACAATCTAAATTTAATTCCAGAGTTTCATATATGAAAATATGTGTAATTTAAAATTTCTCTTTTTTTTGTAAAAATTATATTCAATTTCATACAAATTATTACAATGTATTGTGATCGATTCGAGCAAGGGGGTTGGGCGGTGAAAAAAAAAATCTTGATACAATATAGATACATTGATGCTGTACTGATTGTTTATTGTAAAGTGAAAAGAATTATTCAATACTATTCCAAAGTAAAAAACAATTATTACAATCAGGATCTTTACAACGAATGCAATATGTGTAGTTTTTTATGTCTATTAAAATTGCTGTTGTATTATTTTGATGATGTGTGCCTTTACGAGGACAGAATCGATATTGTCCTCCAATATTAAAAAATAATAGATCTTTATTGTGGTTTCCACGTACACAGGAGTAAATATAACCTTGATGGAGTGTATCTGATTTTATTATCTTTTCCACGAATGGAATAAACTGTTGTATTTGATATTGAGATTGATCAATGTTAATATATGTAGTCATTGGAGTAATATTTGAATTACTCAAATTCGAAATAGAAGCACAGTTTGTATTTGATGAAAAGAACAACTTAATATGAGCATTGATATCGCTTAAATTGTTAAGATTATAATAAACGGATTGTGATGAAACGGTTGTATTAATTAATTTGCATAAGAATTGATTATTTTCTAGGTAAACTATTGGTAGGTCTATTTGTTGAATATTAGTCACGATTGATTTTTGAAGAAGATCCATATACGAAATTTCTGAACCATTATTAAACAGAAAATAAGTACATGGAAGAAGAGAATTGCCTTTGCCTTTTTTCACGCAATCAAATAATCTGAATTGTTGGTTCTTAGAATAAACGTTCAGATCAATTGCTACGGTGAATTCATAACGTGCATTCAAAACTAATAAATAAGCAGTTTCAGCAGCAGTAATGCAATTTGAAAGTATATGACATTCAGTACATTTTAAACGTAATATGCTAATATATGGTGTTAATAGTAGAATTAGATTAGTAATAGTGTATTTTTTTAAAGTAAAATTTATATTAAATGATGAACACTTATGTGCAGCAGTTAAACGTAGTAAATAATGAATCAGAACTTTAATAAATAATCCAAGAGTAAAATTATTTTCAAATAATACAGATGGATTCGCATGAATAAAATGGTATGATATTTTTTTCTGATATTGATCTAGAAATTAGTAAAATAAGGATTTTCTTAAGTTTTTTAATATTAAACGAAAATTAATTAAAGGTCATATGATATAGATTTATAAGTTTTTTTTCAAAAAATGTTATTCTATTATTAATTTTCTTTTTTTTTTAATGGAAATTTAAAATAGATATTTTGTTTTGCTATACGGTAATAGACTAATCCGATTTGGTTCGTGCTTATAATTTTGATTCGTTTGCAACAACTTCAAGTTGGTTAAAAGTAAGTAAATGTTTTGTCCGAAAACTTTCAGTTCACCGGTGAATTGCTAATAACTTCTATGCTTTAATTTCGAGATATATTTAATAAGAATAGAATGATAGGAAATTTCATATACATTTAATCAAATCTAAGCTTTGGTATAATAAGAAGCATTGTTACATTATTCAAAATAGATTCCCATAAATAATGTTAATTCTGTTGAGATTTTAGCAAAAATCAATACTTAATTTTGATGTGGTTTTAACACTCAATTTCTGTTAAATTTTGAATATTTAATTTTAAAATAGTGCTGAAATACCAAACTACCTAAATCTTTTGGTCAAATAGTTGTTTTTTTTTTATTTTCGAAAAGATTTTTGGATTATTGATTAAGTTAAACGTTATTTTTGAAAGTAGAAACATTTAAAAGGATATTCTAACGAATCTAATGGTGCGAATGATGTAGATTTTTCTAAAGTCTGTGTTGTTTTTCACACATTTTGAGTGTCACGCTTTTTTTTTTATAGTTATAGGCTATACAAATGCATAATCTTATTTTTCCACGTATGATCATTGATTACCATACTGCATTTTATTTTACTAATTTTCAACTGCTCTAGCATATTCCTTTTAACAATGGACAAACTGATGATTGAAATGTAATGTGTTTCTAAGTATAGCATCTAAAGATAGTCAAATGACTGATTCGATCAAACTTTGACAATTTCATCAGATGAAATCATATCAGTATATTTCGTGCACATTCAAACAGTAAAATTACATTAACGTTGGTCAATTGAATCTCATGAGAGTTGAAATTTATGGATTAAGTGTGAGTTTGTCATGTGGTTTCTGTTTATATTGGTATCGGATCTATTAAATTTTATAAGAGTTTTATATCGCTAGATTGAATATTAGAAGAATATTTAAGAGTTAAGTTTTTTAATCTTACGCTTCGAGAACGAGAAAATGTTGCATGGCCAAAGAAATATAATTAATTGTTTTAAAATTACTATTTCTTTGAAAATCGAGTAAATAATAAAGTATCTTTATAAAACAATTAGGTCCAATATGTAAATTTTGGATTTCGAGATTTTTATTTGTATAATACTCAAAATCAATGTAGGCTTTCACTTGGTTTGTTGGAATAATTATTTCATACAGAGAACGTTCCGACACACGACATTGTTTATACAAGGTCATTAATTCATTTAACATAAAATAGCAAAACTCTCGACTATTGTTATCTTTCTCAATACTTATATAAAAATAAGTATTTTCAATATATTGATTTGATAAATGATGGATTAAATCAGATAATCGATGCGTTATAATTTTGTTTGGAAAGAGATGTTTTATTAATTTTTGTATATATGTCATGATGATAGGCGATCTTGTTATTTAAAATTAAAATAATATTTAAAATGCGCAAATTTTTTCTGTGATAATTTGGTATAAATATAAATATAGAGTTATTATCTTATGCCCAAATTATGTTTAAAAAAAACCAATTTCGTAGAAAATTATGTCATATAGTTGATATGAAAATATTTGTCAAGGCTCTTTATTTTTATTATTGTATTATTTTATTAGCAGTAATATTTTTGCTCAGCATAACATAACAAATAACATTTCTCAATACAATCGTATAGTTTTTACTCGTGGAAGCGTTGTTTTTAAAATCTCCAAAAAAATATTTATTTATACAATTTCAAAAGGTGAAACAATCATACTCGCGTATTATCTTTCTATTAAATTTATCGAAATGTTTAAGTTTAGCATCTTGAACAAGAGAAAGCTAAACTTGTAAAATTCTTATGTCAAAAGACGGTAACAATGGAGAGCATCGCATTGAATTTTAACCTTTCACGACTTTAAAAGATTTCAAATTTGACGACTTCAAATTTTTATGAAATTCCTTGGCCTTCGTGAGATTGCATGAACTTCGTGAACCTTCATAACATTCTACAAGACTTCAAAAGACTTTATAAAATTTTAAGTTATTTCGAGACAACGAATATTCGAATAAGTTCAGAAATTGCACGAAACCCGCTTGTTAGTTATTGACGAAAATAGTTAATAGTTTATCATCGTATAGAATATTGGGATTGATGCAAGCAAACGAATAAGACTGAAGTTCTGCATAATATTGATGTAGCCTGCATCAAACATTTCACTATACAATAAATGACTTTATTAAAAAGATATTCAAATACCGAATAGTTTATTTTTTGAGTTCAATCATATTTGGTATTTTTTTTCTTGCAAGTTCACCACACAATAAAAATGCTTATTATTTTAAAAAATGATCAACAGAAAGCAGATAACTCCATTGGTTTCTTTGTGGATATTCTATGAACTAATGCATTCTAAAAGTTATAAATTCCTCTAGAAGTTAGAAAATTTCAACAAGCAGATAGAAGAGTAAGGATGACCGATAGCATTAGACAAAAAAATGTTTTTGTATGCATCTTGGAAACAGCTGTTTTTTTTCCTGATCATTCGACACGAACTCTTGAAAAATCCTTTAAAACCCGTTGCACAATCGTAAGTGATAGGTACTGTTGTCATTAAAACCGAGGGAAATGCTTGTCACTAAAGGAAGAAGACGGAAGACAAATCTAGTTTTGATATAAAAAAAAATGACTTCAAGTAAAATATTTCTCGAGTATAATAAGTATGAATTATTGTTTATTAACATACCAATTCATTTATTTCTATGTATCTTACTTATTTACAGTTTACATATCATTCTTATCATTTTTTTTACTACGATGTTATCAAAGCTATTAGTATAAAGCAAATACACAAAGGATATAAATAATTTAATGTTTTGTTGAACTTTTATTGTACGAGAAAGAATAGTATCATGACTATAACTTTGGGTCTAAAAAAATTTCATGACAGTTAGAACAACAGATTATGTCGAGTAATCTCGAAAGAAAAATATAGAAAATGTAATCCAGAAAACACAAGTATAAAAAATTTTAAAAAATAGAAAGAAAAATCTGGAAAACGTCATTCTTTTTTTTCGATTCCATGTAAAACTGTTATGTTCTTTTTTTTCTCGTTCTGTTCTAATTGAATTGGAATGTAAAATCTATATTTAAAAAGATAGAGCAGTCGATGTAAGAAAAAGAATTTGACGATCGCATCCAAATGTCTGCAACTTTATCGACAGCATTAAAAAGAAGAAGTTATTTTTCGTTAAATAGTGCTCGAACTTAATAGAACTCCTCAGAAGAAAAAGAAAAAATATGACTTCTGCTCTTTAAAGTCGCATAAATACATTATGTATTCGATTCGTAATTGGTGAAATCGATCAAACACAATATCTTGAAGGATTTCGATTATTTGTGGCCAATAACAAATGAACTTCTTTTGTACATTCATGATTACTTGTTTGTCTGTCTTGTTCTTCAGAAAATATAAGGTGAATCAACATTTAGGTATTTGTTTATGTATCAAGTTCTTAAGACAATCTATTGTGAGTCAATTTTTTATCTAGCAGTAATCATTGTTCGGTATTGGAGATTATTATTTTCTAGATTATTCATTCGAGATTCATATTTTTGATATTCTCAATTTTTCTACATTTTTATCAAGATTTTTCGCTTCGATATATTTTTTTTTCGACACTTTTTTCGAGATTATTTGATATTACCAAATAAGATAACTAAAGTATCTATTGTTTTTTTTTCTTTTGAAGTTTAATTTATACACCGCATTATAAGCTATTATTCTGTCCAATTTATTTAGAAAACTTTTGGTATTGTGTTAAGTATGTTTATTTTTGCTAGCTATTTGCATAATAAAGTAAATAAAGAATATTGTTCATAATTTAGCAGAAAAAATTGTTCATGTGCTTTGGTTTACGTGAATTACTAGATTACTAGATTAATAAATAAATAATAACGAATGATATTTATTTACATCATGATAGACAAAAGTGAAATTATATCTTACTGATATAAAGTATAATATAATATTTAAGTAACGAATAATTCAGTATTACCCATAGTAATAAGTACGCGTGATCCTGAAAAAATGAAGTATATTAAGTTTAATCAATAAATTGAAGGGACAATTGAGTTATAATTTTTTTCTTGTCTAAGAGCTGCCATAAGGTTAATTTTTTTCACTCATACGTACCATCAAACCACGAAACTTTTACACGTTTGAATTTTATTTTAAGACCAGCCATATTTTGATCAATTAAACGAGCCTATTAAAATGATAAAATAAAACAGAAATTTTCAATTGTATTACTTGATTGTTCCATAATGTCATTCCAATGTGAACTCCGTCTTGATCAACATGTAAGTCTCGTCGACTCCATAAACTTTCATTTCTCGTACCTGTTGAAATGCCATAATCACGCAAGACTCGGATTTGCACATCTGAAGTAATTTAAATCATTTAATCTGCAAAAATTATTGAAAAATTTACCTATAATTGAATTTAATGGAAGAATATTCACTTGATTTAAATGTATAAAGTTGTACGATATTTGACGATGATCAAATGGTAAATCAATTTCTTGTACGCGTGTTGCATTTGTACAAACTAGTTGAAATTGATGTGGTAACGTCTTATAGATTTCGGATGCCGATCGAATAGATAAGTTTGTAAATTCATAAGCCTATTTCATATGATTAGAAGCTGTTTTACCAGTTAAATTACCTTATCCTTTTTTATTTTATCTGCCATAATGTGCGAATTAAGATTGAAAGCAACTAGAGTTATCGATGCTGATTCATCTGTTAAATCCCAATTTGATATTTCTCCAGATCCATGTGTATTCATGAAAGTTCGTTTTGAATATTCACAAGTAACAATAGCCTTTATTTTCCATTTACATTAGGAAGAATATCAATATATAAATTAAAAAAATTTGATTTCATAATTAAAATATGAACTTTTACTTCATAAAACGTAAATAGTAAATTATTCTGAAACAGTTATTGACTATGAGCAAAAAAAATTACTTTTTTTATTAAATAATTATTAATTAATAAACTAATGTTAGAAAATAAATATTTTTTTTAAGCAAAAAGAATTTTATTTAAATTGTTAATTTGTTTATTTGAAAAAAAGATGATGTGAAAAACACTTACGAAAATGTAATATTAGTGTTGATTTGGTCAATATTTATTAAAACTGGTTCATTTCCTATAACAAAAGGTGATAACATCATTGATTCTTTTACTTAAACGCATTAAAAAATATGTTGGAGATGAAAATAGTGTGGATTTATGACGACTGATACTGATAACATTCTAAAAAAATTTAATCATAGTGAATTGGCAGATCAACGGTGCCGTAATGATCTCCAACTTAAAATTCAAATTTAAATGTTCAAATATTCCAATTTTCATTTTATGTTGATTGTTGTCTCTATTACAAAAGAACCAGTGTAAATTTAAAATTCCCAGCATCTCAGAATCTTTCCAGGATTTTTTGCGGTTTGAAAGTGTTGTATTGCTCATACATATTTGAAATTGTATTAAAATTAGAATGCTCATTGTGAGTAGCAGCAATAGTATTTTCACTAGATTTTTCAATGAAATGAAGATCTTTTGCAAAATAAAGATTTTGTATTAAGCTTGACTGAAGGTTTTTGGAATTGAAAAAATTTGAATCTCAAGTCAGCTTTCTAGAATTCTTGACTACGCTTATTAAGTCTCAAAAAGCGTAATTTCTGTAGTTCACCTACATATTCTCAATATTCGTGTAAGTTTTTAGAACAGACCTGTCTGTTGAAAAAAATCGAAAGTAGGAATTTTAACCAGTAGACTAGAGAAAAGAATTTCTCCAGTCTGAAACCAGTCGACGAAGTTTTATTAAAAAACTCTGATTTATTGAAAAAAAGGTTTGTTTTGATTGAAAAATTGCACTGAAATATTCTCACTCTCACTCATAGTTATTACCTTAATTTTGAGTCGAAATTCAAATATTTATGATTAACATTAGCACCTTTTCTAGTACTTTCAGCATCACACAATAAAATTTAGTATTTATATGTTGGATTTAGGTCATTGTCCTATTCTCCAAACTCACTCATCCTGCTTTTCGTCACCTGTTTTCTAACTCCTCACTTGACATTATCCTTGTCTGCTCAGTTCGTGGGTTGTCTTCTTTTTTTCTCGGTTTCATTTTTTTCTCTCTCTGTGTTTATTGTTTATTCGTTACTTATTTTTGTTTTCCTTTGTCTCTGTATTTCTCTCAACTTTTCTCTTTTTCTTGCATCTTTCTTATTCTCCGTTTTCTCTTTACTTCGTATATTCTCTTGGTACTCAATAGAACCCTCAAAAGATTTGATCTTTCTTTTTCTTTTTACCTTTTTGTATTCTCTGTTGAACATCTCTATCTTTTCTATCATTCGTATTTCTTCTTTTCTTTTTTTTTCACTTACTCTTTTCGTCTCTGTTACCTACAGTCTTATATTCCTTTACTAGTTCTTTCGTTGAACGTTCACCCTAATAAGTGAATAGTTCCATATTTGAAATGATAGCTGAATACTTGAAATTGAAGTATTGAACTTTCAACTTTGATTATATAATAGTTAATAAAAACTAACTTGAAGAAGACATAATACGATTTTCATTTATTGTCCATACAGAAGAATTTTGAAAATTATTTGTTGCTTCATTATTATTTCTAGGTAAAAGTACAAAATATTTCTTTATATAAATAAAATTAGGAAACATACGTTTGATTGTGAACGTCATTGATTAATTGTTCAACTGTGTCAGTAACGATTTCAGATAATTCCATATTTTATCTGAAACAAATTAAGTACATTTTTTTGCAAAAATAAACAATTTTCTAAAGTTCATTCAAGGAATCGAACTTTTTCGAGCAAGAGGTTCGAAAAAAAATGGGGTTGGCGTAAAAGAGTTGTAAAAAAAAATTTTCTACGACACGCTCTTTTTAAAGTTACAATGTTGTAGTATATGGTACAATTGGTATCATAAAAGAAATATAAAGTAAATGTTGTTATGTAAATTATAGAATCGATAATACATGACACATAATCTTGTTTTAAATATAAGTTTAGTTTTTAGTGATGATAGAGTTGGAGTAGTAATGTAAATCGAATAAAACAAAAAAAAAATAGATAAAGAAATGTAAAATGGCTCCAAAACAAAGAGAATATTTTTTTTTTAATTAACAGTCAATGATAATAAATATGAATGAAATTGCAATGTGTAAAATAATAATCATTATCTTTGCGTCTTTTACTAAATAACTAGAAAGAATATTTTAATAAACTAATCCTTATCCATTGATAAACAATAAATTGTTTTTTAGACATACAACCTATTCGTTATAGAGCCATCATTTCATTATGTTAACATGCAAGACATAGACAAGAAATAAAACAGTCTAATTGTATCCATCCCATGTCGCACATTTATTTGAACTACCGGCGGTATACCGCGGTACTTGAAAAAACCGCCGGTACACCGACGGTATACCAACGGTTTTATTAAGTACCGCGGTGTAACGGCGGTTTTATTAGGTACCGCGGTATACCGGCGGTCAAAACACTACCAAAATACAAATCTATTTATCTATATAGATGACTATTTTTGTTTCTTT